ACTGCCGCGCCGACGAGACGCTTTCTGCACTGTCGAACGTTGCATAGCAGCTCGAAATCCATCTCAACGAGTGAAATGGCAAGCAAAAGTGCAAAAAAGGAAGACTGCAAGTGCACGTCGTGAATCTGACGGACGATACATTCCTTTTCTACACGAACGGACACGCAATAGCCAGGCATGATGAGCGGAACTGGTGAGCAGCATCTGAGGCGGAAGAGGTCTGCGACAGAAAACGCGCCTTCTTTGCGTTCCGCTGCGATTTCGCAGGGGTTTTGAATGAGGTCTGCGACAGAAAACGCGCCTTCTTTGCGTTCCGCTGCGATTTCGCAGGGGTTTTGAATGTGGACATTCTACTTTGTCAAGGCCAAGCTGGTCGATTACAAGGGCAACACGCCCAAATTGATGGTACCGGTGAGGATTGTCCCAAAGGCCCCGAACGTCGTCATGCCAATTGTCGCAACCCAGACATCGGCCTTGATTGGCCTTGCCAAGCGCCAGCCATTCTATCAAACGGCGACTGTCGGTAAGTGACGTGTGTCACCTTTTTGGGATGATCGCTAGTGCTTATTTTGATGCTGCGAACTGGGCTCATCCATAATCGGTCTTCCCCTCATTCTTCACTGTATTCTTTCGTAAACGATACTTCCGCATACATTCTCGGTTAAGTTCCGGTCAGGTCGTAACACACTCAAAGTCAACACGACGGTGACCAGGGTCGAGTAAGGCACCTCACTTTGATTCGTGCATGTGAGTGGGTGATTTCAGCAGAGGGTATTCAGAATATCGATGATGGGGGATGAACAGGCTTTGGCAGAAACAGATTGGTGATGCTGATGCGCGCGCGATTGCCGAGACACTCAAAGTGAACAAGACAGTGACTTGTATCGGGTACGGCAGCTCGCTTTGATCGATGCATATGAGTGAGTGATTGAGGAGAGTGCTCACTGAGGGAGGGAATCTGGACAGTCTGGGTGAGAATCAGATTGGCGATGCCGGAGCAAGCGCGATTGCCAAGGCACTCAAAGTGAACACGACAGTGACCACGGTCGAGTAAGGCATCTCACTTTGACCGATGCATATGAGTGATTGAGCAGAGTGCTCACCGAGGGATGGAATCTGGACAGTCTGGGTCAGAATCTGATTGGCGATGCTGGAGCGCAGGCAATTGCTGAAGCGCTCAGAGTAAACACGACGCTGACACGGCTCAAGTAGGTTGCTCGTCTCCGATATTGAACCAAGGCCAGCCATACCTTGCTATGTTGTCATCTTACTCACCGATCGAGCGACAGTCTGTCATGCAATTACATTGGCGACGTTGGTATTCAAGCGATTGCTGATGCACACGAGTTCAATTCCACTCAAATTAATCTGACGTAGGGCGTTTGCCCGATCAAGTCATGCTTTCAACCGATGGAGTGGCCCTTGCTGACTGATACTCACATATGTTGCTTGTTCGTGGCACAGCATTGGCAACCAGAGTAACCCTCTTGTACTCTCCTTGCTTCCACGATTGGCGACTGCTGACGA